ATAAGGTCTTAGAGAGGATGAAAACAAGGAGTAGGCTTATACTTAACATAAGGAAGAGGCAGTGGAAGTTTCTGGAATACGTAATGAGGAAGGAGGACCTGGAGAATCTGATACTCACGGTTCTAATATAAAGAAAGAGAGACAAGGGAAAGCAGCGCGTGACTTACCCGGCGAGATTGAGCACGTGATTTTGCAGAACGTGGTCTTGGGGAGGAATCAGAGATAAGGAACTTGCTGAGTGCTGCAAGAGATAGGAGGTGGAGAGCCATGATCCCTTACGTCCTGAAAGGAGAGCGCACATATAAAAGAAAGAATAGCTTCTAGAGTCTTTACTTGCATTGGGTACTGGTGAGTATTTTGATTTTATCTCCTAGTATTCGTCTTATGTTGATATTTTGGTCGTTCATGACGTCGAGAATGTCACAATAAAGACGAGGACAACAGTACATACAATGTATATTTAGTTTGGTCTGTTTATTTTGTACAGTAATAGCTTCTAGACGTGGAAGCTTAAATATTTGGAAAGCGTCTTGACAGAGGACGATAAGTGCGACACTGATATCCGTAGATGTATCGGGATAGCCAAGGACACATTCTAAAAGCTGGGCAAAGTATTGCGAGACAGGAAGATTTCTTTGGTAACAATGAAAAGAATACTGACCTGTCAAATGACATCTGTTCTTCCTTACGGCAGGGAATGTTGGACGATTTACCCAAAGATGAAGAAGAGTCTCGAGGCGACGGAGATGTGTTTCTACAGAAGGATGCTAAGGATATTATAGACCGACCGTGTAAGCAACGATAAGGTCTTGGAGAGGATGAAAACAAGGAGTAGGCTTATACTTAACATAAGGAAGAGGCAGCTGAAGTTTCTGGAATATATAATGAGGAAGGAGGACCTGGAGAATCTGATACTCACGGGTCTAATAAAGAGAAACAAGGGAATGAATCGCGTGACATACTTAGCGAGCATGGGCAGGTGTATTACAGAACGTGGTCTGGAGGAGGAAGAAGACGGAAGGAACTTCGTGAGAGCTGCAAGAGATTGAGGGAGGTGGAGAAGCATGATCGCCTACTTCCTGAAATAACATGGCACATAAAAATAAAAAATTTAGACCGTTGCAGCCAGGATATGCCCTGACACTTTCACTGGATGGATTCGCCCTATTTCCCCCGTGTTCCAAATGTAAATGAAAGATCCATTCAGACCATTTCACCAATAACTCCCACATTTGAAACAAATTTCTATTTCCCTAAATATTTCAATTTTGACCCCTTCATATCAAGGGTCGATCTTTATCTTCCCTTCTTATCCCTAATATATTCATTCTTATTCTATTTATAGCGATGATTTGCGTTTTGTGTAATGGATAGTTCCTCGTAATGAAACTAGTGGAGCTGAGTTCAAATTCTAGTCGCTTTTGTTACAAACCATTACGTGAAAATATCCTTGAGAAGGTTATACATTCACGTCTTCTTCCTCTAGGTAGGGGCTAAATCGTAGAACCTCAATATGTATAAATCATTGTCGTTCTGGAAAAAAAATGTTAATGCAATAATCACTCGCGAAAACAAGATTTAGTCTTACAATCCAAAACATATTTTGCTTTTTCATAATCTACAAAGGGTTGATAAGTCGTAAAAACATAAATATCAATTCAGTTATATTATACACGTCATTAGACATCTTTCTTGACAATAATCCTTACTCTAAGTGCTTTTCGACCCTTGTATATGTTAAACTTTAGATAACGGAATGAATACAATACTGTTTCGTTTGAATCTTACAGAATATAGTCGCAACTGTTTTTCTTGCTATTTGTATTCTTGTTACAGGTCTATGTATATGGAAACGCTTTCACAGCTGCAGATATATGGATGCTTTGACGCAAAATAAATAAGTTTGGTAATTTTTCTAATGTTTATGTTTCAGGCAGTCGGTTAGGATAATTGGATTTCTTCCTATTAGAAGTAACCTTCGATTAAAATTAAGTAAAATATTAAAGTCAAATTGTGAAAACAAAGGAAAATAAAAGTAAATTCAAAGTAGAGAAATTGTGATTGAGAGAAAGAATGTAAATTAAAAAGCAAAACAGACTAAATTCACATCTCGCGTGCCAAAAAATATATTGATTCAAATTCCGGACTAGTCCGTTGCATTCACTTTTGCCCAAAAGCCACTTGGAAAGGCATGAACCCATCACTTCTCTCCCCAAGTTAAGGGTAAAAAAGCAGACCGGTGTTCTTCATAGTGTTTTATAGACGTGGCTTGTAATCAGTCTAAAGGAATAGGAAAACCTGAATTAAAAAAAAATCTAGCCTTGAACAGAATGGACTCCACCAGTCGATCTTGTTCTAGACACACCCATTTTCTGCTACCACTACAGTAAGGGCGATGCTACAAGAACGACTCTAAGGTTTAACAGGAATCGTGGTATATGTAAAAATTATTTAAAATTGGTTTAATTTATTCCATTTATTTTTATTCTTCCCAAGGGAA